TACTTTTTTATGTTTATTATTTATGGGTTGTTTGCCAACCCTGTTCTACCCCTGCTAGAATGAGTTCCATGAGTGTAGGAATCTTTTTTTTTTTTTTTTTTCTTATACTAATGTATTCCAAGTACTTAGAGCAGTGTCTGGAACATACCTGGTATTAAATAAATAGTTGCTAAATGACTGAACCAACAACATGACTTTGGAATCTAAGGTAGCACCAATTAGATCTGTGTGAGGCCAGATTTATAATAAGTAAAGCCAGGGGCAGAAGATAACATGTTGAAACCACAAGACTTAGTTTCTCTAAACACAAATCTATTTGCATAGCATTTGCCTTCAGAATAACATAAAAAATATATAGGGGCGCCTGGGTGGCTCAGTCGGCTAAGCGCCTGACTCTTGGTTTCAGCTCAGGTCATGAACTCGGGGTCTGAGATCAAGCCCGGTGTCAGGCTCTGCGCTCAGTGCAGACTCTACGTGAGATTCAATCCTTCTCCCTCTGCCCTTCCCCTGGCACGTGTCACGTGTGCTCTCTCTCTCAAATAAATACATAAAGTATTTTTAAAAATTTAAAAAATATATTTATCTATAATACAAAAACATTAAAAAACTCTCCTATTAGAGAAAGCAGATGAAACGAACCAGGTTCATATATACAAAAAATGTCTTGGGACACCAACTATCTAGGTTTTTTTCTTTCTAAAAACTTCTCCATCTGTGTAAGATTGCCCAAGCCGGATTGCCAATTTTATTTTCTTAATCTAAGCTCTATTCTCATTACCCTTCCATTTCTATTTTTTATCCTCAGGGAAAGAGAGAGCAGTTACTGCCAGGGCATTCTCACATCTTCCAAAGAAATGACACAGGTGTTAATCTTGTATTTATGTTTGATGTGGGTAATAATGGCTATGGCTGGAGCTGCAGGTTTATTAATATGCAGGGCTCTCACCTCATTAGTGGCGATGTGTGTTTTGAAGTTAAGCTGCAATGTTTGCTGTAATGTCAAATCTGGTCTGCCAGACTTTTTCACTGTTCATTTTCTTTGTTTTTACCCAGTCAGTACATGCTATGCTTACAGGGCTCACACATGTGCTATTTAATAAAGACAATTTTCCATAGTAGTTAATCCTGGTAGAACTTTCAAACATTTTTAATAATTATGTCCTCATGTGATACCACATGTCTATCTTAGAGAAAAGGTTTTCATAATTTTTGACCCGGTAATGCAAAGAATAATAAACTCTCTTCCTGGCTTAATCTGGAAGTGATATGTGCTTAAACTGGATAAAGTGATTAATGCATAGTTATTATATAATAAAAACTTGTGCTCATTATTAGCATTTGCATATATATCTCAACCAAATCTTTACAAGAACAAAATAAACAACAGTAAAACCTTACTGATGGGGCACCTGTCTGGTTCAGCTGGTTAAGTGTCTGCCTTTGGCTCAGGTCATGATCTCAGGGTCCTGGGACTGAGTCCCACACTGGGCTCCCCACTCAGCAGGAAGTCTGCTTGTCCTTCTCTCTCTCCCTCTGCCCCCCCCATGCTCTCTCTAATAAAATCTTAAAAAAAAAAATAAAATTTTAAAAACCTTATTGAATATAATATTTGATAATCCATTATGAACAGCAACTGTTATACTTTAATTCATAAAAAAAAGTCCAGTGGACATAATACATATCAAAGGAACAAACCTGTGCCAGACTAACAAGCCTTGTGGGATGGGTGGTCTCACTGCGCTGCTCAGAGTTCGTTCCACTCTACGGTCCTCACTGAATATGCGCTGCAGGAAAGACTCTTAATTTTTACCAGCTTGTCTGGAAGTCATTAACTGTGTTTTATAAATTCCAAAAGATACTATTTATGCATTTATGTTTTACGGCTAAAAATCCAGGACCACAGTATTCCAAGGAAGCCATTTAAATGTGAGAAACAGTATTTTTCTCTTCTCATTAGGTAACTGAACGCATCTCCGTTTCTTCATCTTTTAAAATTTGTGTTCATAAGTACAAGACCCTGGCTCTAGGGGCAGCATTTGTAGGGAAAGAAATGATGATCGAAGAACACAGGTACTTAGACTAAGACAAAGGAGAAAGAAACTTAGATCACTCATGAGCATTTCTCTGCACCATCTTCCGTTTACTCTGTTCTCACAGTACCTGTAGCGCCCCCCCAAACCCGGCCCCTACCCCCGCAGAAGGACCACTGCCTTTGATTTGACAATGTGACACATATTCAGCTAGAATTCCCATCATCATTCATTTAGAGAAAGTAAAAATGAGTACATGGGCTTTTAAGAAGGTACAGCAACAAGCCTATATAGCAAAAGTGTATAAACAAGTATATTACCTATTTAATTGCCTTAGCTGAACTTGGAAGCTCTGATCTTTAATTGCCTGATTGAACTGATCTAAAAAGCTATAATTTTTTAATCAGGGAGAAAATTAAATAGCTTTTTGGTAAATAAAAAGGCATCTTTAATCTTATTTTTATGGAATCCAAGTTATTAAATATGGACAAAACCTCTAAAATATTAAGTTAAGTTAACAACTACTCAATCTAGAGTAAATTTCTCATTACAATGCTTCACAAAAGTCTTCAGGGACACCTGGCTTCTTCCACTCTTCAAATAAAAACACATGCTTTTAAATCCAGAAGGTAAAAGTTTCCATGAATAACCAGGAAACTCTAAAGCTAAGCATATAAATATATTTAATGAGGTGTATTACCACAGCATATTATTTCTTTAGTCGAATACTCATAATTACTGGGGAATAATTGTTCACCTGCACTATAATTCATTAGTCTTTCCATCTGACAGATGCAGATGCACATTGACTCACTGGTATTTATTTAAAACCCAAATCCCTTGGGAGGGTTTGTTGTACCACTATCCCCACTCAGCCCCTCACGGATATCTTCCCTTAACTAGGAGCATTTTACAATGGGTGATGCTTTAGGAATTCAGCTGGCCAGCAAAGACTGAGAAGAGAAGTACAAGTTCAGGATTCCTTTTTGAAAACTTTATGTCCTCAATCAGGAAAGCCACTAAGGCCACCAAGGTATGTGAAGCACTCTCTTAAGGAACAGTGTATGATGATATCTGAAATGTTAGTAAAAGGAAGGGACGCAATTGTATAGAAAGTGAAGGCTTCCGCAGTAACTGACCAAAGAACCTTTTCTTAGCTTAAGCTGCATCCAGAGCTGGGATGGACCTACTTGCCTCTGAGAGGCTCTGGTCGACCACACTTGCCCACAGTGATTACAGATGGTTGTTCTGGGAATCTGACGTACACCCTGTACTTTATTTTTAGATCCCAGGCATAAATCCACTTGAAACATGTATATCAAGATCCCACTTCAAAGAAAAATTCAATTTTTTCTCCAAAACGAAGAGTAAGACTAAAACCAATGATTGCAAAGAAGAAAAAATAAAAACAACTGCAGAATAACTAAACAGTATTTCCCTATCCACTATGGTTTTAAGTGCTTCTAAGATTGCTCACAGAAAGTTATGACTAGGGAGAATTCACTATAAGCCAGAAGTATGGTGTATTCCCAGAGTATAGGATGATCCTAAGGATCACTTTAATAGTAACATCTGCATTTCCATGGCAAGGTCCTTTTAATGAAGGCTTTGCTATTGAGAATTGATGTCTTCCTTGAGTTCCTTTGTCAAAAGGATAGCAGATGTCCATAAAAATCAATAAAATGACAAGAACTGACCACTGTGTTAACTCCTATTAAAATGGCCATTACCACTTCATGGGTTGGTGAGTGTGGGGAGGTAGGAGTACAGGGAAGAGAAGCAATACAGGTCATATTATGTTAAATACCATTCTCTCTCTAAAAAAAAAAAAGACAAAGAAAAAGAAAAAAAAAAAAAGAAATACCATTCTCTCTTAACCTTGGTCGTGAAAATGCTCCATTCTTTTCTCACCTACCAGATGCGTTCACATGATGACTTCTCCCCAGGAAGAGTAACACTAACACAGCTCACTCCCCCTATGTCTACATTTTGCACCAACTATACTCTAGAAATAGACTGGACGAGCTTTAAGGGAAAATTTGGTTCCTGATTCCATTTAATCCACATAAACACCTTCAAGAACTACAAGTTTTACTTGCCAAAGTCACACCTCCTCTTCAAAAGAGGACGAGGGATTTAAGAAGAAATCTGAAATCACTAGGATATTAAAACCACACAACAAAAAACAACCCCTAGGGACCAATGTGTTACTACAGTTGAAGGCATCAGTTGTTTACGTGCTCTCTCAAAGCTTATACCTTTTTTAAAAAAAACTTTCCTTTAATCACATCCAATGTGTATGTTGTTGCATTCCCCAAATGTGCATAAAGTGGGGCTGAGCAGATGTGTTAAAATCAACCAGTACTGTTAGTAATAGGAGGCCCTGAAGTTACTTTGCTATAGTCTGTTTCTCACTTAATAATTTGCTCCAAATGAATTCATGCATTTTGGGAACACTGAAAAATTCAAAGGGAGGTTCCTTTCACAACATTCAAGTTACCTGATTATTCTTCTCCAGTGTTCTGTTAATAGACTGGGAGACTAATTTTTGATGCATTCACCAACTCCTTATTTAAAGCTTTACTTTCAAGGTATGTGAAGCAATCTTTTAAGGACCAGTGTATGGTGATATCTGAAGCATTAATAAGGGATGCAATTGTATAAAAAGTGAAGGCTTTGCAGTAATTAGAGTTAAGGATTAAAAATCAGATCCTGTTATTTTCAAATACTATGAAATACCTTTTTACATGTTTGGTAAATATCCACAAAAATACCATGCCTATAATCTAAATCAGAGTAGCTGAAGGAGAAAATAAGCAAAATATTTATAAAGCAGGCATCTTTTTGACTACCAAATATATCAGCTGGCTTAAATATCAGATCATTTATTTTATTTAAAAAGCAAGGTATCTGGAGAGCTCCCCACCCAACCTCACAAATTAATTCAGAGCTCGTAAGCACAGTACATACCTCTATGTAAAATCTTTAAACTCCACAAATAGGTAAGGCCTTTAACAACCTAAATTTAAGAAAGAGAAACAGTCCAATGATGATTTTTTATCAGAAATTTTCCACATTTAAACATATAATCATTATCAACCATAATTCTTCCTTTAAAACTCTGAAAACCAATAAGTGTTTATTACATATCTCCCATTTCTGTGCCAGGCTCTTTGAGGATGCCAAATGTGTAAACTACAGCCCTCCTTCCTTTAATGGGCTTACAATGTTCTGAAGATAAGCCACGATGAATGAAAAAAAGGAAGGTATGTGCATGTAACATGACCTGGAAGTATATCTACTAAGTTCGCAGTGGTGGTGTGGGCAGGGAGGAAAGGCTTTCCCTTCTTATACTTTTGTATGTGGATTTTTTTTTTTTAAGTCGTGACATTTGTGACTAAGGAAAGACATTTTTTAAAAGCTAACTAATGAAGACAATGGGTGGAACAGAGATTGCTTTTCCTGCCCATAATCAGGAAGGCTTTACCAAAGTGCTGAGCTCTAAGTAACAGATTCAACTGATGTGAAGGAAAGAGAAGAAGGTGTTCAGGACAAGGTAAAAATATACTGTCCAAGTGCTGGGGCCATATACTCTTCAAAAGATCAAGGTCAGGAAAGACAAAGAAATGCTGAGAGACTGCTCTGGGTTAACAGAGACCAGAGACATGACAACTAAATACAATATATAATCTTAGACTGGATGCTGGACCAGGAATGTTTATTCTTTTGGTCTAGAAAGGGTATTCCTGGACAACTGGCAAAATCTAAGTTAGGACTGCTGATTAGATAGCAGTACTGTACCAATCAATGCTCATTTCCTGATTTTGATCAGTATACAGCAATGATGTTAGAAAATGTCCTTGTTCTTAGGAAATATACACCTGAAGTATTTAGGGGTAAAGGGCCATTGATGTCTGCGACGTACTCTCAAATGTTTCAGGAAAAAAACACATACCAAATGTGGTTAACTGGTAACAACTGGGGAATCTGGAGGAAGCATCTTTCAACTTTTCTGTAAGTTTAAAATAATTTTTAAAAAATATTTCCAAAAAATGTTTTAAATGATATTCAGGTAGGAAAGATCAAAGTATATCAAGATGAGCAGCCTCACAAGCCAAGCTGGTGGATGCAGGCATATGTATGGAGTCATGTAGAAAACATTGAAAGCGCAGGTCAAAAAAATAAAGGGAGAAAATACAAACATTCGAATTAGAATGGGTTTTTGATTGAACAGCCTGTGTTAAGAATAATCAGTCAAATAAGATTCTGAAAAAAAGATGTTTCTAAGACCCTAAGTACATGGGTTACAAGTGCTGCCTTCTATGTGAGAAGTTTAATCACTAAACACTTTAACAATCTTTACATAGAAATGGTTGCAAAAGGGGATGCACATGTTTTTATTCATACCCACTGATGCTGTATGCACATGACTGTGAACTTGCCAATTTCAAGGTTGACTATTCATAATTATGTATCATATACAATGAATGAACCACTATCACTCAAAATTTACTTCCAGAATTTAGAAGTGCCCACCATTACAGAAAATTTTAGATGAGTCAGGACTATAAAAACAAGGAAACCTGCCATTATGAGGAATAACTGAGTGATTTACATATTTATTTTGAAAATGATGAAAAGAAGGTTGGGGCTAAATCTGGAAGGATTTTAGTTGATCAATTAAGACTAAGAGCAATACTAAAAAGAGAAATGCAAAGAGAGAAAACCAATTTCCAAATACTAAAGATTTAGAAGAAGGTAAAATCTATATCAGTTAATGCTGAGCAGAGATTAACATATTTTAATTCTTTTCTTAGAGGGGGATGTACTCCTGAAAGATTTGCTAGCAAGGTATGATCATTTCCACAGTAAGCTTATATGTTTTAAGAGAAGAGAATACATTTTTATAGCAAATTATTTTTTCTAGGATTTGGAATAAGTGGCATTACAATAAAACACATATGTTCTAGACAGTAAGATAGTAAAAAAAACAAAAAGAAAAGAAAAGAAAAAATCAAACTAGTAATAATGATAACCAACAGAGGAAGGAAACAGGCAAAAATATTGCCTTAAAAATCAATAATGAAAACAATTTTCTCTTTGGGTAGTAGGATGAGGCCATCTTATTTAGCATGGAAGTAATCACCTCCGAGTTCTGAAATTAGGGTTAAACTTCTCAATTTATAACCTTACTTGCATATTATAAAACCTTCCCATTAAAGATGGTTCACCATTAAAAATTGGCCCCACGAAAAATGAATAACCAGAAAACACACAAGGGGAAGGCAATCCATATATTCAGATTATCAGGCAGAAAAAAAAGTAAAACAAATACTGATTTTGTAATACTTACTAAAATTACAAATCTTATTAGAGCTTCAAAAAGAATGTACGGTTCTTCCAACTTTGTCAAAATAGATTACGTTTTCCTTTAGAAGCATATAAAAAGCAGTGTACAGAAATCTGTCCATTGAAACTCTAGAGGGTATTATTGGTATTCAGTAGGCTAGGTTTCACAACAATGACTTGACAAAGCCTTGACACTGAATGTACTTGTATCTGCTGTCAATCACTCACTCCTTGACATGTCAAGTGCACATCCTTTCAGCGACAACTTCAATCAACATTAGCACTCAAAATACAGCACACAGTGTCACTGCTTCAGAAATGAGAGGAAAAACAAAACGTGCAAGCATGGCAGGGAATGGCAGGAAGGCATTCCTCTTTCTAGGAGACCACATTCAAATGGAAAGTGGATAAAAATCACTGAGCAAGTTGAAAGGCTGAAATCAGCCAGTTTATGTGAATACTTTTTTTTCCTGGGAAAATATTCTCTTGCCATATACCCTATGAGAGAAAATTCAAACAACACATCATATAAGTTGACAAGGGTCCATCCTGTAATGAACCTTGAATCTTTGGACGTCAACAGCATGCCAGGTTATTAGAACCTGGGATATAAAGCTAATTGGGAGGAGGAAGAGATGCCTAGATGTCGTTCTATGACATGAAAGGAATCTGAAGCAACTGTGTCACTCCACTCCTTTCTCATATACTTCTCTTTTTTTTCTCTTTTTTTTTTTCTCTTTAACCTTGTTCTCCTTTTCAGGCCTTCCTCTCCTTTTTTCTCATTCTCTTAGGAAAGCAGAGTGAAAGCATGGGGCTTGGGGTAAAACAGCGCTGGGTTCAAATCTTCACTGATTAGTTATAGATAACTTTAATTTTTCTAAACCTCATCTTGCACATGTATAAAATATGATCAATAACCTACAATCTACAGAGTTTGCTATAAAGATTAAATGACATAATATTTATACATAAAACACTTCATCAACATTGGCACAACGAGGTAGTCAATATACACCTATTTCTCTCCTCTCTCCTCTGATTCTGTTGCTTCTGACGTGGCAAAGAGCACCCATATGCTTTTCGGCCCCATGGAGAGAACTCAAGGGAACAATGTTGATCTGTCTTCAGAACAGTAGAGGAGAGATGACCTACAAACATCAATTTGCTAGTCTTATTTTGATTGGGGGAATCCTTCCACTCGTGTTTGTCAGCTGCAACAAAGACTTATCCAAGTTTGTAATCTAATCAAATTACATTAAAAAAATATGCTTTGGAAGCATTATATAAGCTTAGGCCCCAGCAGAGTTTATAAAAAGTGGCAGGTGAAGAGCAAAATTATCAAAAGCATTTCTTTTACTCTGGCCACAGGCAGTTTTCATTACTATGACCTGATGAGCCATAAAAGCTAAAGAAATTGGACACATTTTAGGGGGGGGAAACCCTAATTTTTAAAAAAATGTAAGGGCAAATGTAACTAATGCTTTGGGCTGGCACTTATTTTAAGTGCCTTTCACTGAAATAATTTTTGTCATACTTTTGATTAACCAATAGGTAACCCTGGTATTTGAAGCCCGATTATTATTATTATTTTTGCTGACTCCATTCACTTTGCAGGATTCTCACTCCAGTAGAATTGAAAAGACCAATGGCCTTGTGTGGATGCTCTACACAAGATGGAGGTAAGATTTATGAAGTCCAGGAAGAGCACACTTCTCTGACTGAAGGAAGCAGATTCCTATTTTAGCCAAGTTCAACACATAATTGAGTATATAGAACTCATATACTTTTCTTTTTCAATTGGTATTCTAGCCTTTTTTTGCCCTGTATTATACGTGTTATTAAACTTTAGAGCCAAGAACTGCCAAAAGCCACAAAGCATTCATTCCCCTCTGAGATTAAAAGAGGAAATGAAACATTTTTATTTTCATCTAAAATAGTGATTTAAGTACTCAAATTTCATACTAAACTAATCTACCTAAACATGTAGATTAGAAGCTACTTAGCAATAGCATCAGAAAAGAAAGTTCTCATCACCCTGGGCAGTTCACACTAATAATTAGAAAGAAAAAAGGAAAGCTGTGAATTACAATGAACTAAGACTAAATAAGTGTCCATGTTGGATTAAAGGATTTGAGTTGTCAGTTTGATGTATAATGAATGTGAAAAAGAGCCATTTAATTAAATGGTACATGGTATAATCGCTTTGTTCTGCATTAAACTGCTTAAGTTATCAGAGTGCCTTTAGTTTAGCAACTGTTTACCATTACACCACCCCATGACTTCTCTTAGACACTGTTTAGCCTGCATTATTCCAAATTTCAAATCTGGAGCTTATATAGTAATGTTAGTCTAGTTGAAATATTTCATCAATTTATATATGAATGCAGAAAACAGGAAAACTGCTTTTAATCACAAAGGGAATAAATTCCTAGATATCGCTGGTAAAAAAATTAAAAACCACACAAAAAGTCTGCAGAAATCTTTAAGAATAAAGTAGTGTTTTCTTATAAATAGTTTTATTTTAATAATTTGGCTTGAAAAGTATTTTCTAATCATAAGCCTATAACTACAAAATATTCCCCAAACAGCTTTCTTGCTGAAGAACCTGGAAATGTTACTGGTTAGCAAGTGTACTACAGTCTCTGTAAACACATGAAAGCAGAATAGGTCACAGGTCACAGGCCCCATAAGCCTGAAGCATGTCATGTGACTATGTTGTTACTGTGGGTTGGTCTATGAAAAGAAGAAAATGCAAAAATGACAAAAGAAGAGAGTTGAGAAGGCCCTGGCAGTCAACAGGGATTGGAAAAAAAAGAAAACAACATCATGAGGATATAAGGGGAACAGATTTGACTAGAAAGATTCAATCACCCCAATTTCATAAGGTTGAAGCCATATATACTCACTGCTATTGCAATTCTTCCAAGGACATGCTCTGGAATTTTTCTATATACATCCAAGGATCCCCCTGTAGAGACAGATATGTTGCATTATTATAAATAAAACTACCAGAACACTGCATTGGGCTCCTCCTCTGCGCATTCACTGTGAGAATATTTTTTTTCTTCTCTTCCTCTTACATTGTGCATTGGATATCTAAGGTCAAATTGGTTTTTAGTCCAATTTTACTTATAACATAATATCACACTACCAGATGAAGCATAACTAGATATTTCCATTTTATTTCCAAGTGTATTACATACATGTAAAAACTGAAAGAAACTAGTCAAGGGTAGGCCATGCCTCTCCACTTTATGTAAAATTAAATACATACACAAAACTAAAGATAAACAGGTCAACCACATTTAGGTATCTACCTTGTGTAACAGTTTTCTCAAATGTAAACCAGGACTCTGTCTTAGAATTTTCAAATTAACTAAACAAAAGGCAGTGAATATAAGGTCCAAAATACACATAAAAAACTAATAAAGTAAAATAGTAATATTAACATCTATCTAAATGAATGTTATCCTTCAAATTAAGACAAGAAATCAACCTATTCCAAAGATACTCGGTTCAAAATGGTTTGGATTTTATTTGTTTTAAAAATTCTCTTTGATACCACTTCAAAAACCACTTTATGAACTAAAAAAGAAAAACCAATCTCCTTGTATCATAGTATTTTTCACTAAAATGGTATTCACTAACATCCTTCATCTTTACTAAATCCAGCTTTTAGCAGTTCCAAAAACCGAAACCATTAGACTGTAAACAGAAGGACAGAGCCACATTGTTTACTGGTTTTAAGTTTTCATCAACCTAAAAATGGGCATAACTAGCAGACAGTAGCTATTTGATAAATATCTGTCAAATGAATCAACAGATAAACTAAAGTCCACGTAAACTTCACCAGATAGGTATAGTTGCTCTGAAAGCAGTTTCAAAACAAGGAACCACAGCAATAGTAACATTGCTGAGACTAATTTGCACAGCTTTCCCAGGTAACTATTTTAAAGGAACCAATATTCACTTGGAAGTATAAATTTGGGTATGGTTGTCACATTTTTCAATCTCACACAAGTAATGTAAGAATTTCAGAAAGATATGCAAAGAACCACTACTTCACTCATATTAACAATATAATTCTATGAGAGCTATAAAACAGTATGCAATAACCTTTCTTTGAGTCAAGTTGAGGTGTAGTCTTTCCGTTCTTTTTTTTTTTTTTCAGATTTTATTTATTTATTTGAGAGAGAGAGAGGGAACACAAGCAGGAGGAGGGGGAGAAGGAGAAGGAGAAGGAGACTCCCTGCTGAGCAAGAAGCCCGATGCGGGGCTCAATCCTAGGACCCCGGAATCATGACCTGAGCGGAAGGCAGAAGCTTAACTGCTTGAGCCACCCAGGCATCCCTAGTCTTTCAGTTCTATAAAGGAATTATCCAGAATATTTGAGAAATAATGTCCATTTCAATCAGAGGCTAAAAATTCATATTTAATCACTTTACTACTAGATGATTTGTAAGTATGCCTCATATGATACTAAAATGGAGGGGCGCCTGGGTGGCTCAGTTGGTTAAGCGACTGCCTTCAGCTCAGGTCATGATCCTGGAGTCCCGGGATCGAGTCCCGCATGGGGCTCCCTGCTCAGCGGGGAGTCTGCTTCTCCCTCTGGCCCTCCCCTCTCTCATGCTCTCTCTATCTCATTCTCTCTCTCAAATAAATAAATAAAATCTTTAAAAAAAATAAAAAAATTAAAAAAAATTAAATAAAATGGAGCGTGTTATTCTTTTGAAATGAAGGTAAGTGCATTTCACAAATATGAATATTTTTATGTGTCAAGTTTTCCTAAAGCTGAACATCAGAAAAAAATTATTTTTCCTATAAAAACAAATGATATCTATTGCATACATATAAAGCTACTGACTTTGGATTTATCCTGTTTAACGCAGAAAAATCACTTCTTTAGGTAACTCTGACGTGTAGTTTCCAGATTCTTACAATAAGCTGGAAAACCACTAAATGGTATAACTTTATGCTTTGGCTCTGGGTGCTACCCGGAAGATAATGAAAAAAAGACACTTCTGCAATGAACTGAACCATCTTTATTTACTAAAATAGCACTTTTATTATAGATGCAATAAAAGTGAAAATACAGTAAGAAAACATTTCCTGTTCTCATTGATCTTTCAAATGAATTGGCAATTGCAAGAATAAACAGTCAAGAAGATCAAGCTTTACGTGCTGGTATTTGGAAGACTGACAAATGCAGTGTACTGGACCAATCCCTTGTGAAGTGAAGGGAAGCTTGAGTGGCTCAACAGTAGGACGTGCAAATCCATTCACATACACTAGTAAGAAGTCCTGAGATTTTTTTTTTTACATAAGATGTAAATCAGGGTTTAATTAGCTAAACAGACAATCAATAGTCAATAAGCTAAATGGAAACGCCAAAGATTACATTACTACCCTTATTGGTAGAACAAGCCAAAAAATAATCTCATTTTGAGGTAGTTCACTGGTTTTTGTAAATATCCATTTGATTTCGGTTATATCCCACTCTCCTTAGCCACCCACATGAGTAAATCTTTATATACTGGCTTTGTGTCATCATCCTGTCCTTGACATAATCATTAGAGATAACTCAAAGGCAAAAAAAAAAAAAAAAAAAAAGGATCTGGCAGATCCACTCAGAATCAAGAGTTCCTATTAAGCTTAAATACGTTCTCTTTGTGCGATTATGTAATTCTCAGGCTAAAGATGAAAGATTTTCAGTTGAACTGGTACTGAGTTTTACTATCACTTCTATCTTACAGGCCTATCCCAAAAAGGCAATTCTTAGACTCATTAAGTCACCCAACATTAGTGCTAGAGGGACATTAAAGATCAGTCCAATGACTTTATTTGACAAATGGGAAAAACTGAGTCCCAGAAAGGTAAGTTTTCTAGTCATAGCCATGAGTCAGCTGATTGGTAGAGCTCAGGTAAGGTCTCATCAGCCTTTGAAGTCCTAGAACTGCAAACATTTAAAAGGTTTCCCCATAACATCATAGAGCTTAAGAATCACATGTGAACTTTTTTACAGTTTAATATAATGTGATATTACCATTACTCAGATAGTTTAATCTTAGTTGAGACATTGGTATTCAAGGCATTTAGAAACTCATTTCTATGTTGCACAGTTGGTTTGAACCTTTTATTCATGATTCTAAGGGGACATCACTGGTTTGCTCTCTGTGACCTGTCATTTCTCTGTGTTCCCTGGCCTCAGACCACCCCTCGCCAGTCATTTCATTGCACACCACTATCCACCATAGGAACCAGGAGAAGAGTGCTAAAAATAGATTAGCAAAAAACCCCATCTCAACTGCCAAACCATATACTTCTCTTGATGAATTAGGGCTATCATTTTCATGGAACTAAGCCAAAAGGATTCATGGCATAAGGTCTGTGCTTAACCTAATATGGGGCTAAAATATAGTGTCTTGCATGTAGGATAAACACAAATATGTAGTAAATGAACTTCTCAAGAAGCAACAATACTGTCATATTCATCCCAAAATTTTCCTTAAAATGGCCATGATTATTATCAATACTAATTAAATTAAAATCTGGAACTATAAGCAAAAATTTCAGAAGAAGCCCTTTTAGCTTCTGTTAGATGAAAAAATAAAGAACCCTTTCTTTCAAGTACTCAAGGGAGTACTTGATCCTCCCTTTCTTTCTCTACAACATGGGTTTTTGGGGAAAAAATGTTATTCCCAAGATGGCAATCCAAAGCCATAGGCATATATTCTGAGATGCTATATTTGAGCATTTCTGAGGACATTGTTTTACTCAATGAGAAGGCATATCACGTCACTCCCTTATTTGAATCCTTCCAATGGCACCCTAATTCAGACTGATACACAACTTCCTTACATGGCCTACACAATCTAGCTTCTGCTTACTTCTCTGGCCCCTTGTCCAGCCCCAGGGCCTCTCATCACTACTCACTAGTCACTCTGGCCTTCTTGAGGGGCCTTGATTATATCAAGTTTGCTCCCACCTTGATGCATTTATACTAGATACTACGTCTTCCTCGAAGATGTTCCCCATGACCTTCCCTGAGTGGTTCATTGACATTAAAGTCTCTGCTAAAATGTCACTCCCATAAAAAAGCCATCCTTGCCCATCCTCTCTAGCTCCTCCTCTCCTATAGTCATCATCTGCCCTGCTTTATATTCTAATGAGACTTCTCCCTCTCAGAGAATGTACTGTGTGTTTCTTCTCAGCCTCCTGTTCTAGAATTTAAATGCCATAATGACAGGAACTAAGTCCTATTCACTACTGTATTCCCAGGTTTAGAACAGTGTCTGAAGGAAAGTGCTCAATAAATATTTGGAAATAAAGGACTAATATGAGGTTAAAATAGTGAGAATCTACACTAAAGGAAAAGTACTAGGGTTGGGAGAAAGTTGTCAAGAAGTTTAACTGCAATGGGAAGGGAAGAGAAGAAATGATAGAGGGCGGTACATAGTTTTTGGTCCATATATTTTTGGGGTACATTTTGCTGTGTTATAGAGAAGGAAGATCCAAAAGAGAGAGGTTGACTGGTGGAGAGAAATCCACTGAGTGGATGCGCATGTGGAGGGACTGACCTCGTGCAGCCCTTCATGTGCAGGGAGGGTCAGGTGGGTTCACGTGTGGCTAGGCTACAGGTGGAAGCACAAGGAAATGTGAGAGCTCACATCTGAAAGTCTACGTGATCTCTGAGGGAGAAAGGAGGAGGTCAGATCTGGGAAAGGGTAATAAAATTTTAGGATAGTTGATGTGGTAAATAACAGAAAGATGGGAACTGGAGAACAATCTGCAAAAAGTGGGAAATTTTAGTGTTCAGGGACTGATTAGCATGGAGTAAAGGGAAGCTGCCAAGGAGCAGTAAGAGAGGGGCTTTAGGCAGCTCAAGTCTAGAAAGGAGTCATCTCAAAAAAGACAGTTAAATATAGACTGTAAAGTGAATGTTTTAAGGTAAAGACTTAAAGTATTAAA